TGTGTGTGTTGGGCAGGCCTTCTGAACTGTTCTCTTCTCACTGTTTTTGTTCTCTTCGATGCTGGGAACTTCCTCCATGATTTTCGGTATTGTTCCTCAATTTTCGGTACTGCTCCTCCATGATCTGGTAGTGGGATTGCAGGACTGGCAGTTGTTTGACAGTTATCCAATAATTTTTTTTAACCTTATCTCCAACAACCTTAAAGATAACTACCTAAAAATCCTCAATTTCCCATTTTAAATCAAATTCAAACTACCAGATCCAATCTTATATTCTGCCACCTAAGATCCAACCTCTTTGAAAATCCGTCTGGGCCATCAAATTGTAAGCCAGCCCAGCCCAGCCCAAATCCAGCCTATTGATTTTCTTGATAATCGGGCTTTACCTTGACACGTGGCCTTACCCTATTGGTTTATTTTAGGTGTAAACAATGCCCCCCCCAACACTTGGTTTTATGAGAATAAATCCAAGTGTTTAAATTACCTTTCAAACTCCAAAGGCCACGTGCAAAATTTGCTAAATCCCAAGAAGATTGTAGCAGGTATTCCCAACTTTTTCACAACTGACTCCGTCTGAGCGCATCCAGCCATCCACAGCCAGTCATGGCCGCTCGATCAAACTTGTTCTTATTTTGGAATAAACGCATGAAAGCAAATCAACTTATTTATGCATAGATAGAAGTATGAACCTGGCTCAAACAGCTTCTTGGGACTCTAAGCCTCTTGCTTCCCATACTGTGGGGTAATAAGGCTTGAGATAAATTCCATTGATTTTTCTGGGATGAAGCTCTCCATCAAGTGACTTTAACCAATAAGCACCCCCTCTCAACACTTCATGAATTCGGAATGGTCCTTCCCAATTTGGAGACCATTTCCCAAATCTGTGATCTTTCTTTCCAAGAGGTAAAATTGCTTTCCAGACCAAGTCACCAACTGCAAGATTTTTACCTTTTACTCTCTTGTTGTAAGACTTTGCAATTTTGAGTTTTCGAGCTTGTAATCTATCCAAAGTTGTCAAACGTGTGTCTTCAAGGTCCTCAAGTTCAAGCATCATAACCTCGTCATATTCCCCAGACTGGAGATTATGCTGAATCGCTATTCTTAAAGACCTGGCTGTTAACTCCATTGGCAAGACTGCATCGTGGCCATATGTCAAGGCAAAAGGTGTCACCTTGGTAGAACTCCTTTGTGAAGTTCTATAAGCCCACAGTGTTTCAGACAATAATTCATGCCAACGTCTAGGATTGTCATCCACCATTTTTTCAAGCAAATTAATCACCACCTTGTTAGAAGCCTCCGCTTGCCCATTAGCTTGTGCATAATGAGGAGTAGAATTTAACAGATGGAAACCCATTTCCTTTGCAAATGCCTCCATTTGATGGCTGACAAAAACTGTGCCTTGGTCTGTTGTAATTGTTTCTGGCAGACCAAATCTGTGAATAATGTCCTCTTTGATGAACTTGATTACATCAGATTGGTTTACCTTCTTCATTGGTTTAGCCTCCACCCATTTGGTAAAATAATCCGTTGCCACTATAATAAATGAATGACCTTTTGATAAAGGGGGATACACCTTACCAATGAAGTCAATAGCCCAGCCTCGAAATGGCCATGGTTTCACAATAGAATTAAGTTCAGAAGCTGGAACTCTTTGAAGTGGCCCATGGATTTGACAAGATTTGCAGCCCTTAGCATAAGCAATACAATCTTTTAAGACAGACGGCAAGAAGAAGCCATGTCTGCGAATCAGCCAGCGCATCTTGATCCCAGCCTGGTGTGCACCACAAATCCCATCATGGACATCAGACAACATCTAGAAACTTTCATCTGGACCCAGACAACGCAGCAATAGTTCATTATGGCCTCTCCTATAAAGCACATCCTTAATCAAAACATAATTAAGAGCTTGCATTTTGGTTTTCCTAGATACCTTAGGGTTTTGGTCCTTAAGGTACTGCATAATTGGAAAAGCGCCAGTTTGTATGGGTAACATCAATGCTGCAGGTAGAAACTGTCATGCCACGTTGATGAATTGATGGCAAACTGCGCTTTTCAACTATTACAACCTTCTGCATTACACCTTTAGGAATTCGAAGACCTGAAGCAATCTAGGCCATTTCATTAGCTTCATAGTTCTGGTCTCTAGGCACGTGTATGATGGACACATCATCAAACTCTTCCAGTAATTACACAGCCAAGGAAAAATAAGGGGCTAAAGCAAGGCTAGTACATTTGTACTCACCAGACAATTGCTTCAAGACTAGTTGTGAATCCTCTATAACCTCCACCATGGATACTTTAAGCTCCACCAATAAATCAAGACCAATAATCAAAGCTTCATAGTCTGCTTGATTATTTGTGCAATCAAAATCCAGCTGGAAAGACATCTATGTTTTTAGCCCAGACAGGGAGATTACCACGACTCCAACTCCAGACATGGTTTCTGTACTAGATCCATAAAAAATAAGTTTCTAGGGCTTATTGAAAACAAGTTAATCCCTTTGTCTTCGTCTGCTTCCACTTCCAGACATGGATGATCTGCAAGAAAGTCTGACAGTGCCTGTCCCTTAACAGCCTTCTGTGGTATATATTTCAAATTAAATTCAGACAAGGGCAGAATCCATTTACCTATTCGACCTCTTAACAAAGGGCGGGACAACATATACTTGACAATATCAGTCTTGGCAACCACATACACCTCAGAATAAATCAAATAATGTCTTAATTTTATTGCAGCAAAAAAGAGAGCAAGGCACAACTTTTCAATCGAAGAGTATTTCACTTCGGTCTGGGTCAAACATCGACTCAAGTAATACACAGCTTGCTCCTATTTCTTATCATTTTCCTACGCCAGCAGACATCCTATGGACTCGTATGCGGTGGATATATACAAAATTAAAGGCTTATTTTTCACAAGCGGTACAAGTACTGGTGGTCTGAATAAAAACCGCTTTATCATATCAAAGGCAGACTGGTGGTGTTCTTCCCACTTAAAATCCGCCTCAAACTTGAGTTTCAACAGAGGAGAAAAAACTCTAGTTTTCCCAGCCAAGTTAGAAATTAAACGTCTTAAGAAATTAACTTGGCCAAAAAATCTTTGCAACTCCTTCTTGTTCTGTGGTGGTTTTGCCTCAATCACAGCCTTGGCTTTGTTCTTGTCAACCTCCAGACCACACTCATGCACCAAGTACCCAAGGAAGTTACCCGCAGACACTCCAAAGGCACACTTTAGTGGGTTCATTTTCAAGCCATGTTGCCTCATCCACTCAAAAGCCTTCCTCAAATGGACCAGGTGGTCTGCTTCCCCATGTGATTTCACCACAACATCATCAATATAAATTTCCATGAATTTACCAATCATATCATGAAAAATTGCATTCATGGCTCTTTGATAGGTAGCTCCAGCATTCTTCAAACCAAATGGCATCACAACCCATTCAAAACTTCCAACAGCACCTGGGAATCGAAAGGCTGTCTTAGGAACGTCTGCGTCTGCAATAAAAATTTGGTTGTACCCACTATGACCATCCATGAAAGATAGAATTTTGTGACGGGCTACTCCATCAACCAACAAGTCTGCAATTGGCATAGGATACTCATCCTTTGGTGTAGCTAAATTCAAGTTTCAAAAATCAACACAGACTCTTAATTTTCCATTCTTTTTCAGCACAGGCACTACATTTGACAACCAGTCTGCATACTTGCATGTTCAAATGAATCCAGCTTTTACCAACCACTCAATTTCTTCTTTCACCTTCAAAGTGGCCTCTGCAGACATGCGTATGGGCGGCTGTTTATACGGTCTGAATCCTTCTGAAATTGGCAGTTTATGTTCCACCAATTTTCGATCCAGACCTGGCATTTCTGACTAATCCCAAGCAAAACAGTCTTTAAATTCATGCAAAAGTCTGATAATTTGATCTCGTGTCTGCAGCTCAAGAGAGCCACTGATAAATGTTACCTTTGGTTCACTTTCAGACCCTAAATTGATCTCCTCCAGTGGGTCTTGAACTTCAGCTTTTAAATCATCCAATTTGGCTGGGGCCAGATCCAGTTCCTCCAAAGTTATTTCATCACCTCGGTCTGCCTCCTCACCTTCATGAACAATTTCAGACATGTCTACTTGAACTGCTTTTTCAGCAAAATAGGCTGCTAATTTCTTTGTTATTTCCAACACGGCCTTTTCTCTTTCCTATCTCAGACGAGCTTGCTTCATTAGATTTCTTCAATTTTTAGTTTCCCCTTCGGCCTATAAGGAATTATTGTTGTTGGCCAAAAAAGTTCATCACAGACTTCCTCTACAGCACACTTAGACAAAAACGGTCTACTACATGCTGTTATCCCAATCGGTTTCCCATGCCTATCCATCCCAAAAAACCGAATGGTACCAATGTCTTCTTCATAATATTTAGCCTCCACCAGGTGAGTATTGGCTGAAAAAGGTTTATCATCTGCAGACACCACCTCAGCTTTGCCACCATTCCAGAAAATCAGTTTCTGGTGAAGTGAAGAAGAGACACACCAACTTGAATGAATCCAGTCACGCCCCAAAAGAGCATTATAAGTAGCAACAATATCCACCACAAAAAATGCAAACATCAGTGTCATATTTCCCACTGTTAATTCAATAGGCAGCACACCTCTTGAACGATTCACTCCTCCTGTAAAATCACTAATTGTAACCTCAGTATGCACTAAATCATCAAGAGACTTGCATATTTTGTAGAGCATGCAAGTTGGAAAGACATTGATTGCAGCTCCATTATCCACCAAGACACGGCTGATTGAAGTCCCATCCATGTGAGCATTGATATAAAGTGGCCTAATGTGTCTGGCCATCTTTTCTTCTGGTTTTTCAAACACAATTTTGTCAACCATGTCCTCATCTTCATCATCCTGAACTGGAACAACGATTACCTCTTCTTCTGTCTGTTCTAGGAACTCACAGACGATTGGTTCCTCCTCCTTCTTGGCTTGGAAAACCAAGGGTAATGTCAGCACCAGACATGACAAATTCACTGAGAATTCCCCAAAATGAATAGTGTCATCTTCTTTTGATTCAGCTCCACAATTCCCAGACTGTTCTTGTGCTTCAAAAGTTGCTTTCAAAACTCCATCTTGACTCATAATGACAGATGCCACCTTTGGAGAGGCTAGAGATTGGTCATCCCCCTTCAGTAGAGTTTGGGTTACAGTCTCATTTTTCTCTTTTCTCACCCACACCATGTTTCTTTTTGTAGGTTGGCGTGGTCTGCGAGATGAACTTCCCTCAGCCTCCATCTGCTTCTGTTCCCTTTTTCGCTCTCCAGCCTTCTTGTGTTGCAGTCTGCGCTTCAAGATTTTGGGATTCTGGGTTGGAAACTTGGGATGACTAACTTTCTCCCATCGTCTGGAAGGTCACCTGAGTGGCAGTTTGACCATCCTTGGAGACTTAGTACCCTCTGAATGAGGTCTGGTACTTTTTGGGCTAAAGCTCCTGGTCACAATGATTTTTCCTTGCCCCCCGAGCCTCTGCTGGTCTGACCTGACGCTCCTGCTATGTCTGGATGTCTATGCCTTAAGAACCCACCTCAAGTCTTCGGTAGCAAGGTTCCTTTGAGCATAAGGCAGACTATGATTTCTGGCAACACTCCTGAGGTCTGCAACATTCACGTCGACAGACACAACTGGAAAATGGTCTGCATCTACTCCCATAGTTTCCTTCGCTTTGTCTGGAAATCTCAATATGTCCTTATCAATCTTTTCCAATGGCCTCAAGGCTGGCCCATGGTCTCTATTGAAGAATTGAGTTGGTTGATTCTACAGACCACGCCGTACCGGCTGGGTTGGAGGAACTTGTGGCTGAAAAAAATCCCTTGGACAAGGTTGATGATGAGGACTTGCATTTCCCTTCCTAACTGGCAGAATATACTTATGCTGAGGTTGATGGCCATGGTCTACAATAGGAGTAGCAGCCTCCATCAATTGGTGTTGTCTTTGCCCTTCACCAATGACAAAATGCTGCTGTTGAATATTGGGATGAGGCTAATTCCTTTGCCCCCCGAGTGCTGAGATCGGGGCTTCCTGTTTCTGTCTGGGCATTTCAACGACTAGAGGAGAGATTTCAGGTCTGGGCTGTTGCACTTGCTCAACTACTTGTTCTGAAACAGCCTGCAGTGTTTTGCGACTCTCATCTCCAGTTTCACGCATCACGTTAGTGCCTTTTTCAAAAAACCGTCTTAGTTCAAACATATATTGTCTAATTGTCTCTTCTTGACGTTTGGAAAATTCTGCTTGACTCTCAACAAGTCTCCGCATAGCCTGGTTCTTTTCTTTGAATGCTAATTGCAGACGTTCAGTCATACCTCTAAACACATTACTTGATTCAGCAAAGTCACCCCCACGGTCTGCTTCTTTCTCCTTAAATACTGGATTCCCATAGGATCGCTCCACAAAGGGTGATAAGAAAGGAGGAACAACTGGATCATTCTCACCCTTCGAGTAAACTGCACTGTCATCTACATGTTCAGCCTGAGCTGGCTGAAGCTCTTTATCTTTGCTCTTTCTCGGTGGCATGGCTCAAGACGCCTTTGAATGTATGAACAAAGGATTTGTGAACTGTAACTGATACATCCTGCTGGTTGTCCCACCAGGCGTGCCAACAAAGGATTGTTTCCTCAAAAATCCTCAGCCGACCTTTACCACGTGAGTTGGATGTTAGGCGTGCCACTTGCTTTGTCTAAAAACAAGAAAATATGATTTTCCAGACAACCCTTCTCCTTTCCATCGGTCGACCTCCAATAGGATGGCTGGAAAGAACGTCTGTGAAATGAATTGCGCCCCAGATGATGTTGCAAAACAGAGGGTAGAGTTCTGCAAAATGGGTTACTAATTACCTTGAAAACCTCAAAGGACTTCACAACCAAACAAGTGCAATAAAAGTTACAAATCCTAAAATAAATGCAATATCCTAAAGCAATTAAACTAACATGAAGTAAATAACAGAAAATAACATGCCATAAAGATTAAATTCGTAGACAACAAAAAAAGTAAAATAACAGACAATGATTTCTACTACGCAGCCCATAATGATAA